TTTTTTTTTTTTTTTTTGGGGAATTGGTAAATTAAAGTTTCTTGATTATTATAGAAAAATTTTAATGCATAATGTAAAAATATTTAGGATGGATATTTTATTAATTGGTTATTTAAAATAAATAAATTATCTGCAATCGAATTATTTTCTTTCTTTATTTTTTTTAAATTAGTTTTCTTTTTTTATATATAATATTTTTTTTCTAATTCTTATGAGATGCGATAAATACCAAAAATTGTATAGAATCGCATGTGGGCATATTTTGTAAAACATTTAGACACAATATTTTATTTATTTAAATAATTTAATTAATTACATTAATATATAATATTTACGTGTATTACATATTTTTTATTACATAAAATAAAAAAAAAGACTACTTCTATAATTTTTATAAATAATAGTATAATGATTTCTTTTCTATTATTTATTTATTTATTTATTTATTTATTTGGCGCGGCGCTTGAAGGAGAATAGTTTTCCCCTCTGGACTCCCACTTCCCCCGCACGCTCTATCGTGATACCCGATTAGAGTATCACTCTATGAGAACAACTAAAAGGGGAATGACAACTTTATAGCCTCTTAAGCCAACCAGCAACACCAGCACACTTTAGAGTTCACGAGATGGGATAGGCCTCTAGGCTAACTGATCACCGTTTACGGGTATTCGGCGGCCGTCGTCGTTTCTTGCCAGTCGTTTGAGCTGTGACGCTTCCTCGTGACGCCTCTGTCGGTAAACTTCCCACATATCACCAACGTGAAAATTGTACCTCTCTCTAGTGCTCGCTGGTCTCAATCGGCCAAATTAAGGAGAGAGCAAGATTCGATAGGTTGTATATTGAGTATTGGTGCGTGCGTGAGTTCTGCGAAAGTGAGAAATGTGAAGAAGAAATTCAGGAGGAGTAAAATTAGATGATGTATAGCTGATAAGCTAGCTTAAAGCTTACCAGTAATTTTTGAGCTTATGACTTATAGCTGAAAACTAACTTATATGATTTAAGTGTTTGGTAAAATTAGCTTATAAACTTGCTGAAATAAAATTTTCAAAGAACTTATTTGGAAAGCTACTCAAAGAAGCTTATAAGATAAAGTCGAGCTTTTTAAAAAAAGTTCGTCCTACCAAAGGAAGTTTATAATCTAACCAAATAAGTTACTACCTCCTTTTTTTTAAATGTCATCTTGACTTTATCAACAATTAACTAAATAAATGACGTTTTGGATATTTTTTACATATTTTTCCGTTATTATCATCATTTAGCTAATAAATACACTACGTCTTTTAATATCCACTCTTCATTTTTTCTCAAAACATTCATTTTTATCTCATTAATGAGAGTTATTATTGGAAAAAAAAAAATCTTAATTATAGTACAACTTCTCAAAACGACACATATTAAAAATATGAGGAAGTACAAGCTAACTTATTTGTCTGTCAAACATAGCTTAATTTGGATGTGAGACAAATAGATTGATGGACAAGAATAGGAAAAGGTTTGGGCTTAAACTTTCTATGAAATTGTTTCAGCTGTTGGCAATGGAAATCTGAGTTTTGTTTGACCTGGACCTATGAGGGTTGGGACGAAATCACCATCGTTTTTGGGCCTGAATAATGTGTAGGGAATGGATTAATAATTGTTAAATTTATTAGAGAAATTTTTACGCACTACATGAAATAAAAGAATTTTCAATTTTACCTTCCTAGAACAAGTAATAGAATATATACCTAATCAAGCTATTTTATTTACGTGATTGCCTAAATATCAGTTACCTTTTGTAACATCCTCCATCCATATCAGTTATCATTTAGTGGCGTGATTTACTCATTTAATTCCTTAATTCGCGCAACTGGAATTATTTAAATCCTGTAGCTCTCCAGGTGGTATATATTGAGTTTGTGTTAGTATATTCAGTATATGTGCGCAACTGGTTACTTAATTCACGCCCCACACCTATAATTACGACAACGATTGCTAATTAAATGAGAACATTAACCTAGGAATCTATTATATATGAAACGGAAATATATCCAAACACATAATTCTGGATTAGTATATTTATGAAAATATATTTATTGCTAATTAAGAGAATATTTTATTGAAGGCGAAACTAACAAATGAATAATTTTTTTTTAAGAAATTATTGCAACATATACTAAATATATATTTAATATTAATATAATTTATATTGCCCTTTCAAAATATTATGTCTTCTTGTTTTTTTGATTTTCACTTTTATAGATAAAGGTATATATAAACATATTATAACAATTACTTATATTTCTATACAACACAAATCTTTTAATATGTTGAACATATACTCCATAAACACACAACATATACTGAATAGTTTACAAAAAATTTTCTAATATACTGAACATATACTCCAAATACACACCATATATTGTCTGCCTATACACAACATATACTGCTGTGAACTGTACATATACTTAACATATGTGTTGTCACGTAGATATATTGAAAATCGACGACTCACGGCGCTGGGCATCTGGGGCATTATTTTCCATCAGTTTTGCTATGGAGCAATCGGATGGCTCGGCTTATGGAGCAATCCACACTTACTCACCAATAGTTTATTGACACGTGTCTTACAATAAATACAATTTGGACAGGTGTCAATATATTAAGCAACGGATGGCTCCATAAGAAAACAATCCGATTGCTCCATAGAATTTTTGTGTTTTCCATTACCAAAGTTGCTATCATTTTATTCTAGAACTACGGAACGGAATTCAAGGGCTGGGCTTCTCCGCTCGGACGTACTTTCCATTGGAGAGGAATTTCTCCCTTTATTTCCTCTCGACAAGAGGACTTGGGATCGAAGCAAAATCCCAACTTCTATCTATTTCTATCGGCCATCAAGCACTTTATTCCGGTGACCACCAGCAGCAGCGAGGCCGACCCCGTACGTTGTACACGATCGTGTAACAATGGTAATAAAAAAAAAATCATTCAAAATGAAATGATAAGTGATTCATTCATAAACGAGTTATTAACTAAACACTACTGCAATTTAGAGGCAACGACAAAATAATAATTCATAAAGCAAAAAATCAGTATATTTATAACTAAAAAATTATAAATATTCTAATAAAAAATGATTTACTTACACTAACAAAAATAGAAGTAAATTGCATCAAGTTTGTTTGTCAACAGTCGGGCCCGCACTCCCGAAAGGTCAGGACGGTGGATCGCGTGGTTACTGTTTGTCCCATTTTTGTTGCGTTTTTCGTTATCTTTTTATCTTTCTTTTTCCCCCATTTTGAGTCTTTTGGTTTGTTTTCAGTTCGTTTTATG